CTAAAAAATAAATTTTAGCATTTTCTATTTAAGAATAAGTAAACTCTATAGTAGAGTAGAACAGAGAGCTAGATGGTCTAATTAATCTTCTGGACCGATCCTACTTTGGGTCATGAATAGACATGTTTTCGGTAACAAAATCGTTAGATTTATTAATTTAACGGTTATTGTTTTCCAGAAATTCAAAATTGTAATTTAATTTAGCTATTGACGTTGTGAAGCTGGTTAAAATTTGATGGAGGGGATGGAAAAATGAACTTGTGGTAATTAAACTTTTAAAGTTAAATTTGTTATACGTAAATCAAGTTGTTTACGTATTCACTTACTTTAGGAATCAAAATCAAGTTATATATACGTCGGGTGGAGACAATGGAGTAGGGTGGGAGTGAGAGTGAGAGTGGTCCTGTTCATTAGTTGTTTGGTTGGTTTAACCCATGTTTTTATATTGGTGGTTTAACTGTGGGTTTCCCACCAAGAAATCCATTTTTTTTATTCATATAACACTAGCAGCTTAATTATCGATCATGATTTGATTACTGCAAAAATCATAACCAGATTGGTTACAGTTTGTAACCAAACTGTGGTCAAAGGTTTGATGCCACCAGCGTGGTAGTTTGGTTACAAAATGTTAACATGTCGAAGTGGAGCGCAATTCAAATGTGTATGCTAAGAGCATTTTTAATGTATAGGAGCTTTTTGAGAGGTTTGTATTTGCAAACCTCCTGGTTTACTATTAGGAATAACAACTTTGAGGTTTTAAACCATAAAGTCGGTTTTGTTTCTCAAACCTCATTAAAACCTGTTGTTGAAATAACAGAAAAATAAAGGAAAAGGAAGAATGAGTGGTACTGCCATACACATGCTGCACATTATAACATTTCTAATGGAACATTGTTCATTTTGTGTTCCATGTCATGAAGAAATAAGAAAATTTAGAAATTGAATCTCTAATGGTTAAAGTTAATTGTGGAATAATTTGAGATGTGTAAACTTGTATTGGTTGGAGAAGAACGATAGATTGAATAAAGAATAAAATATATAATAGAAGTTGTTAAGAATCACTTCTACATCTAAAAAGACTGATAGGCATTGTCTATGCAACATAGAATTGGTTGTGCTATGTGGTGACAAAATAAAACAATTCAAAGATAATTAGAGATGCTCTAAATGTACATAAAATCAAGTTCTACACACGCTATGAATTGTGTGAATAAGCTTGAGGCCACAATTGCAAGTTGCAGCCCGGCCCAGGAATAAAAATCAATTATGAAAGAGATTAAATTAAATTTAAAAAAAAAAAAAAAAAAAANCATGTGGGGCTCATTAAAAAGGTTCTGTTCATGGTTATTTTGAGATTTTTGGTTGTAGGAGTTAGAATTCGAATCAATCTTAAATCAATTTAGAGTATTTTTTTTTCGAGTTAAGTTAAATGCTTGGCTTGCTGAGCTCGAGCAGCAATTAAAGAAATAGAATACAAGTTGATAAGATCAATATTCGACTTGATGACTTAACTCGTTTGTAGGTGTTTAATTAAATATTAATTACATCTTGAATTAAAACTTCTATTTGTAACAATCGGAGATCGGACACGTAAATTAATGTATCTTATAAAATTAGTTTTATAACCAACTTGTCAAAGTGAAACGGAGAATTTTCGAATGGCGTATTCGCTTGAGATTTTTAAAATCTTTTTAAAATTTTAGAAATCCCGATGTATTTAATTTAGACTTTTTATAACTTTTAGAAGTCTCAAGGTATTCATTTGAGAATTTAGAAAGTATTCCAAAATTCTAAGATATTTAACTTATTTGAGGTTATGGTTTGTTAAGATTTTTCAAGATTTGTTGTGATTTTAAAAGAAAAAATCATATATGAAATTTCACTCATATCCCCACCTTCAGACGTAAGGTTTAACAATATTCTTCCTAAATCTTAAAATCTTAGTAAGAGATATACTTTCTTAGGATTATGACAAACATTTTGAGACCTTTTAAGATTTAAGACTTTTTAAGATTTTTAGATTTTAGAGGAATCTTGTGAAATTTTAAGTTTGGAGATGAGATTCCGTATAAGGTTTTTTTTTTTGAAATCCCAGCAAATCTTAAAATATTTTAACAAATCATTCTCAAATAAATTAAATATCTCAAGATTTTGTAAAACTTTTTAAAATCACAAATGAATCTCGAGACCTTTAAAAGTCTGATTGAATACACCATTAATATTTCTAAAGTTTGAAAAAGTCTTTAGAAATCTCAAATGAATACACCCTCTTTTAAATAGTCTCTAATCACATAAAGTCGCAAAATATCACTCGAAATCTAAAACGAATACCGAGATTAAAGTATTGTTGACAACCGATCACATTCCATTTCACTATTCGTTTGCAATATCTGAAATCACTGCATAAGATAAATGAGCCGATTACCCCATTGTTTTCCACTACATTATTCGAGTGAGATATGAAAATTTATATTAATATGAAATGGAACTTTTAATTCGAATGAATAAATGAGAAAAGTTATGACAATTAATACAGAGAACATGTGAATGTGGGAAAGAAAGAAAAGTTGGAAAACTAACAAGAAAAAGATTGTCCTTGTAAGAATCATACAAATGGGAAAGCACTATGGTCTATGCTTTTTATGCGGGGGCAAGATTAGATAAAAGCGTCCTTATTCCCTTTTTGCTTGGTGGGATTAGGCAGGATATCCCGCTTAATCCAGATATAATCCTGCGTTTGATTCATGGGACTAAAACTTACAGGAATCCCATCAGCCCGGTATAAAAATGGTTTAATTCTTCATACATGGGATAAACTAATCCCAGGTAATAGGTGAGATTATTCCTATCATGTTGTAGTAAATTTCTATTTTACCTCTATTTTAATAATTTTTGAACTGTTTTTGATTTATTTGAAAGGGGTAAAACAGTATTTTACATCACCTACACATTTTTTTTTTATTTTTTAATTTAAAGTTATCCTACCCCCTTATCATATATAACAAACACAGAAATAGTCCAATCCCAACAGTACAATCCTTCCCCCATTGACTAAATTAGTCCAATCCCATCCTTTGATCTGCTTAATCCCACTTTAGAAAATATCATGATAATCTATTGATAATGTCTTGCCAAGCATGCAAATTGCAATGCAAGTAATAATGAGTATTCATGTAGCTTTGGGTACATTTTTCTTTTTTTTTTTTAACTCCAAACAACACCACATAGGATGGGGTACATAATCAATTAAAAGATACCAGTGGGTTGATTTGTCATGTTGCCTTAAGAAATCCCCTTTATTATTGTATATAATTTTAGAATGCGCTGAGCCTACGTGACAAACTCTCATGCTTCAGAATCCTATTTGGCAAAATTTCATGCTTTAGAGTTAGGCTTGGATATAAATTAATATTTGTATTAATAGTATTTTAATATCAATTCCTATTATAACCATTGAACTGTAAATATATTTTAAAATTCGATAACTTTTGTATTTCCTATCGGTTTTACATATACAATATATCAAATTAATCATCTTTTGATGTGCTTCGATTTAACATCCATATTGTATATATAAAATAAATAAATTATATTTATCTTTATAATAATAATAAAATTATTTATTAAAATTAATTAGAAAATAACTATAAAGTAATAGAAATTGGTATGTATTCTTTTAAAAATTATATTTATTTCAAATCAATGTAATAAAAATAAATAATTATATATCTAAATTCTAAATTACATATAAAGTTAAAAAAAAATGTGAAACACGACTGATACGTCACTTGATGTATTAGGTATCTAATTAAGTAAAAGAATTAATCTATTTTTCTTAATATTAAATAAACATATTCTACACTTATGCATATACATATCACCATATTATTTCTATTTATTTAAGATATATATATAATTTTGTACTTATGTAATAGTAAATAATATCGATATTTTTATATGATATAAGTAAAAAAATTCAATACAGGTTGACATTTTCATTTAATGTACGTGTGTTTAATTATTATGATTAAAAAAATATAATTTGACAATTTAATTAAAACTCAATGTAATGGTTTATATAAAATTAAATTATTCTAGTTTTTAAAAAAATAAAAATTTTAATATTTTTTACAAAAGTTTTCTAATTCAACACCCGTGTAATACACGAGTATTGTACTAGTGTATAGTTATATTATATTATAGTTAATTGTTATTATAGTTTATATGAAAATTAAAGGATGATATTTTAGTATAAAATTATTTTAATCTATTTTAGAAAATGACTACCTAATAATTAAAGTACCTAACACCAATATTTCCCAAAATTTTAAGGGTAAATACATATTTAATTACGTATACCATCTTCTTTGAATTGAATTAATTGGTGTCACTCAATTTACAACAAACATTTGTTTGAATTAATTTCATCCCAACCCTAGGTTTTATGTGTCAGATTATACACACAAACATTAAAGTGTGTGATCTGATGGATAAAATCTTTGCCCACACGTATGCTCGACTTTAGCCATATATTTGACATATGAATTCAATACTAATTAAAAACATTTTTTTCTTCTTAATTCATTCTTTTGTTGTAATATTTGTTTTGTAATGTTGTGTATGGAACTTATTGACTATACTATTTGACAAGAGAGCCTATAGACACCATGATCAAACCTAACCTTAGGAGTTAAGAGAGTCTACCACAATTTTTTAGTACATTCCATGAGCAACACACCAAAAAGAGCTATATGTGATCATACATTTGTGCCAAAAAAGAAGCTCAACTTGCATCTCCCCTCTTTAGAAATCATGATAATAACAATTATGAGGGTCCAAACACTTTGTAGACAATCATGATCCATTTTCTCACAATGTAATCAAAAACCCACTAACAACATTGATAGCAATCCACATTATACAAAAGAAATTAATNTTCTTTTTTAATTTCTTCTTTTCCAGCAACATCAACTTTTGGCAAAAAATTAGGAATTTGCTGGTCAAGCATTCTCCGTTGACTGACCAAGGAGTGGCTGAGTGATGGAAGACCTGATGTGGGGGGTGGGCCTGCTGGTGCCCTGGTCCGCGGGGCACTGGATCGCTGCCTTGAGCGCAAACTTCCTTTCTTCGTTCTTCCCCCACAGCACAAAGTACAACCCGGTTATGATCAGTACCGCGCCGATAATCCTGTGCGTCGCGCGTCCACACATAAAGTATTTTAGCACAATTTAATTTTATTACTAAAAATAATGAAATAAATTATATAGAGGGAATATGACTAAAGAGGTGGATTTACGAAAATACCCTCCCAAATAGAATTCTTCGCCGAGGACGACAGACGTCATAACGGCAACGACGAGGGTCTGGACGGGTTGGTAGACGGCTACAAAGACGGGGCCGCCCCTGTCTATGCACCATATTTGTACGGCAAATGCTATCCCTGACGCCACCACTCCCTGAACAAAACAGTAAGACCAATAAAAATTCTCAATAAATTATGGAAGATGGCAAATTTGTTCAATATGCAAAAAAATACATATATTAACTAATAAAAATCGAACAAATTATGTAAAAAATATGCAAAAACTGCCAATATCTAATTATATAAAAAATCGCAAAATCCCCCCACTAAGTCATTCATATTTGCAGAGTGTTTGCGATTTGACTAATTAATGAGAAGTTGTTGGGCAAAATTGGCATCCACTTTCCAAGTGGTGGCTATAGTTTGCAATTTCTGACTATTCATTATTGGAAAATGCTACAATCCCCGATTCATACTCTCAATTTCCTTTATTATAAAAATGGATCCAATGTAACTCTAATAAGAAAAACAAAAAACAATTGTAAATGACCATTTCACCCCTCCACCCATGCAACCCTCTCC